GAGTTGGAGTCTCACTCTGTCGTCCCGACTGGAGTGCAGTGGCCGCTCCCGGCCACCGCAGCCTCGGCCTGCTGGGCTCCAGCGATCCTTCCGCCTCAGCCTTCCGAGTAGCCGGAATTACAGGCATGCGCCACCACACCCAGCTGATTTTTTGATTTATTGTAGAGATGAGGTCTCACTGCCCAGGCGGGTCTCGAACCCGCGGGCTCAGGCAATCCACTCACCTCAGCCTCCCAAAGGCGCGGGATTACAGGCTGAGCCACCGAGCCCGGCTTTGCCCATTTTTAAACCAGGTTTTTTGTTTTCTTATTGTTGCGTTTTAAGAGTTCTTTGTATATTTTGGTTAACAATAAGATGTATCTTTTGCAAATATTTTTTTCCCAGCCTGTGGCTTGCCTTCTCATTCTCTTGACACTGTCTTTCACAAAGTGGAAGTTTTTAATTTTAACAAAGTCATGCTTATCAGTTATTTATTTCATGGATCATGCTTTTTGAGTTATGTCTAAAAAATCATCATCATATCCAAGGTCCTCTCCTTGTTCTCCTATGTCATCTTCTAGCATTTTTATGTTTTGTGTTTTACATTTAAGTCTCTGATCCATTCTGAGACAATTTTTGTGAGGGGTACAAAGTCTGTGTCTAGATTCATTTTGAACATGTAGATGTCTAGTTGCTTTAGCACCATTTGTTGAAAACAGTATCTTTTCTCCATTGTATTGATTTTGCTTCTTTCTCAAAGATCAGTTGACTATAACTATATGAGTCAATTTCTGGGCTATCTATTCTGTTCCATTGATCTATTTGTCTGTTCTTTCATTAATATCACATCTTTTTTTTTTTTTTTTTTTTTGAGTCAGGATCTCACTCCATAGCCCAGGCTGGAGTGCAGTCTTGACCTCCTGGGCTCAGGTGATTCTTTAGTCTCAAGCCTCTCAAGTAGCTGGTTCTAAAGTATTTCATTTTTGGAGGTGCTAATAATATGTTTTTAAAATTTCAAATTCTACTTATTCATTGTTGGTATATAAAAAAATGATTGACTTTTGTATGTTGACCTTATATCCTGGAACCTTGCTACAATCACTTCTTAGTTCCAGGAATTGTTTGTCAATTATTTCAGCTTTTCTACATTGACAGTTATGCCATCTGCAAACAAAGACAGTTTTATGTCTTTCTTCCTAAGCCAAATACATTTTATTTACTTTTCTTGTCATATTGAATTAGCTTGGTCTTCCAGTACAATGTTGAAAAGTAGTGGTGGGAGGTGATATTCTTGTCTTGTTATTAATCTTAGTGGAAAAGATTTGAGTTTCTCATCATTAAGTATGATGTTAATTGCAGGTTTTTTTACAGGTGTTCTTTATAAAGTTGAAAATGTTCACCTCTATTTCTAGTTTGCTGAGAGTTCTTATTGTAAATGAGTGTTGAATTCTGTCAAAAGCTTTTTCTGCATCTACTGATATAATCGTGTAATTTTTCTTCTTTGGTTTCTTGACAAATGAGTGATGGATGACACCCATTGATTTGCAGATGTTGAATAATCCTTGTATACTTGGAATAAATCCCACTTGGTCATGCTGTATAATTCTTTTTCATATATTTTTGGATTTAATTTGTTAATTTTTTTCATTGTCAAAGTCCTCAATGATTCACTAATATTTTGTTCAGAATTTTTGCATCTATGCTCATGAGCTATATTAACTTGCAGGTTTCTTTTCTTGTAATGTTTTTGTTTGGTTTTGGTATTAGTTATGCTGGCCTCACAGAATGAGTAAG